TAATGTGCAGCATTCCATGTGGGGTTCACATGTGGAAACTTGCACTAATGAACTCGGAAGAATATTGCATTGTTATATCTCAGTCCAAGTGCTTGTACTGTGATGGCAATGGTCTCTTCTTGCAAAATACTTTTTCAGTGTGCCAATTTCTGTTTGAAAAACTCTAAGGTGGTTCAGCTTAAGGAGTGGTATCCTCTTTCTGGTGCAGTGGGACTTCCTCACTGAGACTTCCTCTTGGAATAGACTTGCTGTGGGTAAATCATAAGTGTGTCTGCAAATGGACTATGCTGTCCGAGCTCTGTGCTAGTTTACGTCCGCATGAAACTTCAGCCGACGGAGCGGACGTATAATTCAGTGTAGAATTTGCTCAAGTCTCTCTGATGCATACATTTTGTGCATCAGGTACTTTGAGTGATCTGCCACTGGGATGTTCATGTGAAGAGGGGAAGGTGGACAAGCTAAATTTTTTACTGAAGATGACCAGTATGGGTGGTCACCTTCAGGAGCGGGCTCTTTCTTGTCTGTATTAACCAAATAATTTTTTTAGTAGGAAGCAGAGATCTGCCTTTACAAGTACAAATATTTTCCCAATGATTCTAGAGTAAAATTCTGATTGAGCTGAAGTTCCTGTTAGACAGATATACAAATTGCAAAAGTAGTGATGCAAGTTTTCTGTCCACCTGACGTATTCCCAGTGAATAGCCACAGAATGATTGAAAACTGAAAAATTTCTCTCTGATCCTCTCTGCCGTTGAGCTCGTCATGATTCGTATTCTGTCCTTCCCTCCGTGAGGGTCATAGTCTCTGCTGCTTCTCAAATTGACTGAGATGTTAGGACTGTAGATAACACACAAATGTCAATTCAGAAGATACTTAAGTGAGTGCATAGCATTAGCATGTAAGTAGTCTCATTGATGTCAATTAAACTGCTCGTAATCTTTAAGCTAAGCACAAATGTCCTTATCTTGCAGCATCAGACACATATGCAGTAGGGCATTTAATACAAGTACTCATTGTGCAGTTTTTCTCTGTGTAGACATCTGAAAGCGTTCATAGCCAAGAGAGTCTGGGCATGGTAAATAGCTGGCACGTTGAATTAGGGAAGGAACAGTCCACAGTAGTTTGAAAAATGTAATGGATATTACAGCATAAA